AAGGTAGAGACTAAAAACCTCGTGAGCGCAAAGAGCTTAAATTCGAAACCAAGTTCAGGGTCAACGTAGGTGAATCCGAAAAAGCTTTCAAACGACTTGAACACTGCAGTACGATAGTCTCAGGCTCGTATTACACATGTAGCATAGGAGATGAATGCGGAAACTGCTGAGAACCAACCTCACCTACTGAGCTTGCATATTTACTTGCATGCATGCTTCAAGTTAAACGGGACAACTAAAGTGACCTATGTTGACACAAGCACTTGCAAAACTGACCTAAATGAAGGTTGAGCCTGATGTCAGATACACCGAGGCCATCGAAAATCCCTCTATCTTCGGCCACCAGCCTAGCTCTCATTGGATTGTTATGCCGGATGAAGACAGCTCTAAAGCTTTGCCTAGTCTGCCGAGTACACTCAGTCTTGCCTGCGTTCCACCGCTCCTCCTTCTATCTAATGCATCCTTCCTTTCTCACTTTATTGTCCAGCGCTAAAAACTTTGTGTCCAATTCTCTACATACGTAAAGGAACGGAGGAACGGACTTATAAACTAAGATTACTGATTCTATTGACCTAATTGTGAAAAATTTGCGGCCTCGGTGCGATTCAAACCCACACAGTAGGGAAGGCTTTCATAGAGCCAAGGACATGCAATTGGGCTACGAAGGCGCTCACAATTTTTCACAAGTGGCTCACAATTATTCAAATCTGCCAAACCCTCCCAATAATTATTTTACTGACATGATTACAGGCATACCTGATTCAAGTGCGAAAGATCTAAAAACTGCTTCAGCTACTATTAAGACTGCTGTGACTATTGCTGTAGCTAGCAATAATAATACTGGTGCCAAAAAAACTAATAGAAATACAAATAATGATACTGATATTACTAAGAAGTTAAAAAACTAAGACTAAACTACGACTAGTAGAAATAGCATGCCAATACCAATAATACTAAAACTCATAAGCATACTTAGTAATACCAGTAGATAATGCACTACGATTCAACTACAATATAATAATATAGTATTAATAATACTGCCACTACCAATAGTAATAGAACTAATAAATACTGATAGCACTTACGATATTACTAATACTAATATTAGAGTACCAATGATGATGAGAATAACGCAATGTAGACCAGCACTGCCTGACTCACAATCCGAGGATCAGCCACTGAACACGTAGCACATTCTGGACTCATGATCTGGTTTGGTAAGCGACAGTTGTTAGTACTACAAGCGCTGACTTCTGGTTAATAAGCAAAATTGCAGACTACGATAGCACATGGCGCTGGACCGTCGTACGCAGAAGGAATCGAAGATCAGACTTCGTTACTGTATGATGTGCTTTAACAATGCATGGTATGTGATGTAAACTTATGTTGTCATGACCACCTGTGCTGTAGGTGCTGATGAAGAATGATATAATGATTTGACGTATCCGGCGGTATTCTACCGCAGATTTTTTGTGTACGTATGGGGCCGTATAGGCACAGGCGATGAGTGATTGCACGAGGGCACTGGGAGCAACCTCTGTGTGATAGATTCGCAAGTGACCGATCAGGCCGATGCGTGAGGTGAGGTGAATGTGCCATCGGAAAGAGGGCAAGTTAGGCTCCAGTTCCTAGTACTGATGGAGGGTTGGGTCGTAGTGATGGAGCTGATGGGAGACGGTGGTGCATCTGAGGGTGTGGAGACAGTTATGGTTTTTTGCGCCTGGTGGTCGGCATTATTACAAATGTGCTAGAATCAGGAGGGCCGGTAGGAGTATTCATCGCCGTAGAATTAGACCTTGTCAGAGGGAAGGTACATTACGCCCGTAGGTGTCTGATCAAGCCGATACGTGCAATGAAGTAGCGTTGACAGCGTGGGCAGGTTGGAAGGACTTCGGCGTTGGCAGCGTCCGTTCGTTGGGTTTGTGAATTGCGGGCGGTTCTTTTGGCCTTGGCGGCGGTCATCCGACTGGCTTCGTAGAAGGCTGCGCCTGTTTGCAATTTTCTTCTCCAAGTCGATCGGTCTGACGCGAATTCCTCTCTGGTCGTCGTGTTTATTGGAAGGCTCTTCAGGAAGCTTACCAGGGTGTACTTGTAGCAGCTCCTTTGTACTCCTTGGGAGCAAGAACCCACAGCGACATGACCGTAGAACAGTCGCTTCGGTAGTCGTTCTTCGTCCATGCGCAAAAATTGGCCGCTCCATTTCAGTTGAAGATTCCCGTTTTCTCCAGGACTTCCTTGTCCGGGATCTTGTCCGTCAATCGCAGCTTCAGTAGTTATTGAAGGCAGCTGAGATGAAAATGGTCCAGCCTCCGAGCTGGGATGGCATAGACGGTCCAGATGTCTGCTTCGTACAAAGTATCGTAAGGACGATGGTCTCGTACACCTTCAGTTGGGTTGACAGTTGCTGGCCATGGCGGCTACATACGGAGGCTCCAAACCTGCTTAAGGCTGGCTTTAGAGATTTAGTGAGTATTTTCGTTGGCGATACCGTTGTAGCAAGATATCTTGCTGTCGAGATGGGTTAAATTGACAGTCGTGGATAACCGTTCATTGACCACTAACGGAAGTCAATTGCTTCGCTCTGCCTTGGATCACATTTCTCGGACCATGACGGCAGCCATGACGGCAGCCATAATGGCTAGTAGTCTTAGGCAGATAGTATTGCCGTTTCGTGGCCTAATGATCAGGGGTTAGACTCCAATCAAAAGGTCACGAGCTCGAGCTTCGGGTGGTGTACCACATTGGGTTTGGGTATAACTGCCCGACGAAGTTTAATAAGTCGGAAATGGCCATTCCAGTCTCTCCTGTACTTGCCGACAATCCTATCTGCATAGTTGAAGTTGCCCACAGTTTTTAGCTGAGCATTGTTGACGTTGATCCGTGGACGGCGGTTGCTGCATGATCACCATTTTTTTCTGTGTTGATGGTAAGTCCGATGTTGGCGCAACTGGTGGCGAGGCGGTCTATATTCTTTTGCATGTCCTCTTCTGTCCTCACAGTCGTCCGATAAAAGTAGGTCGGGAGCTGTGGCTGCGAAAACGCGCCTGGCGCCCTACATACGTCGGGTATTCAGGAGTTTCGAATCCTGGACGCTCGTCATGCAGGACCTAGCCCTGTTTCACTGTGTTGGTCACTGCGAAGACTTCAGATACCGTCCCGCTTTCTGTTACGCGCGCCACCATCACATCGGGGAGCTGACGTACCATGTGGGTGAAGAGCAGCGGGCAACCGAATTTCTGAATGACTTTCCACAATCCGTTGAGATTCACCGTGCCAGAGGCTTTCATAGGGCCCATGAAGGTCGTGTAGAGGTGGGTGCGCATGTACTGGCACTTCTCCTGAAGCTGTGGCAGGGCGAAGGACATGTCGGTGGTGCCACGATTACGAAGAAAATCATACTGGATTTCCGGCAGGAGACTTTGATCCGGATAGTTGTTGAAGCGGCCTAGGAGTATAAAAGCTAAGATTTTTCCGGCTAGATTGAGCAACGAGATTCCCCGGTTTTTTTTCCCATCGTTTTTGGATTGATATTTTCCTGCTGCCAGACTCCACTCTGGGACACGGGCTTAGTGAGAGAATAGTCCTAAGGAATAGACCGTCTACGTAACTGCATGTTGCCCTCGCTGCAGGACTTTGTGATAATGGGGGGTAGAGTGGAGTGGATTGGGGGTGGGAGCAGCAATATTTATATTGGTAGTAGTAGGATTAGTGGCAGAAGTAGCCTTATAAGTACTAATTCTAATAAAACTGATGATATTAAAAATAATATTAATAGTATTACCACTACAGATGCTGGTGATACTAATACTAAATATGCCAATGGTAGCAATAATACTAATAGTAAAACTAGGTTACGTTAATAAATAATAAAATATTAAAGCAGAAGCAATAATGCAATACAACAGCATAAATACAATAAAAATAGAATAATGCGATGCAACAGTATAATATAACAGTAAATGTAATGCTGATGGTAATACTACTAAAGAAATAGTAGTACTAACGACAATAACAGTACTAAACGTCGCAAGTGGCGAAAACCGCGTAAGCCGCGAGCTGCTCGAGTCATAGTTCTCAGGCCCCCAGTCCATCAATAAGCGCAACGATTTAGCGTTCCCGTACGGTGTATTGAGCCATTTCCTGAGCAACAGAATCCGTCACGTGGGAAGGACCGGGCGCACCAACAACTCTGACGACAACGGGCACAATTGTTCTGCAATTATCAAGCCTGCATCCGACGCTGACAAGCAAGCTGTGGCAATTAATGAGCCATCACCGCACCAATTAAGACCTCAAGC